GTTTAAAAGTATAAGGAGGTCCTGAGAAGCAGTCCCTACATTCCCTCTCAATGAGAAAGATTAAAAGACTTAGAAATCAGCTGGGCATGGTGGTGCACACCTGTGATCCCAGCACTTGGGGAGGCAGAGGAAGGCAGAGCTCCGTGAGTTCGAGGCCAGCCAAGGCTACACAGAGAAACCCTGTCTCAAAAAAAAAAAAAACTTAGAAGTCTTTAAGCAAGTCAGGTTTAAGTTACTACAAAAGGGGGATGGAGAGATGGCTCTCAGAGGTTAAGAGCACTGGCCGCTCTTCCAAAGGTCCTGAGTTCGATTTCAAGCTTCCAAGCAACCACATGGTGGCTCATAACCATCTATGATGAGATCTGGTGCCCTCTTCTGATGTGCAGGTATACATGCAGACAGAACATTGTATACATAATTAATAATTAAATCTTTAAAAAAGTTTATACAACAGGTTGTGGACTGCACTCCTTTTTTTTTAAAGCATGTTATATCTAGAATCCTTCTTAAATGATTTATTTATTTCTATTTTATGTGCATTGGTGTTTTGCCTGCATGTATGTCTGTGTGGGGGTGTCAGATCCTTTGGAACTGGAGTTACAGCCAGTTTTGAGCTGACATGTTGCTGCTGGGAAAAGCCTGGTCCTCTGGAAGAGTAGTCAATGTTCTTAACAGCTGAGCCATCTCTCCAGCTGGTGAACTGGATACTATTCCACATCCTTATATTGTATTAGGAGATATGAAATGTCACCTAAGTGATAGTTCCCTCTTCCTCAGTTCCTTCTCTCAAGCTCTCTGCTCTAAAATCACATTCACTTACTGACATCCATTGTGTTTCTTAGCTTCCTCACTCTGCAGCAATCCTTTGAAGCAAGTGACCCCTGGTCTTACTTTGTCCACTTACATGGTCACATACAACACTTCCATATCTCACTTTCAAAAGTAGTAACTGCTCAAGCCTAAGACCTCAAATCCCAGCTCCAGTCCTTTCACATACTTCCTTAATGTGATGACATTGTTTGGCAAGCACTTTATTACCTAATGTTACCAGTAGCCCAAAAACATAAAACCAGCCAAGCATGTTGGCACATGACTTTAATCCTAGCACTCAGGAGCCAGAGGCAGGTGGATCTCGTCAGTTCCAGGCCAGCCTTAGTGAGACCCTGTTTAAAATTCTCACTCACATTTATATACACACAAAGACACACACCTGTATATATATGCCTAAATACTGTTAGAACGCAGATTTAAGAAACTCACCTTTTTTTAAATTAATGTAAAATAAAAAAGGCCAGAAGAGGGAGGGAAGGTGGGATTGGTGGGAGACCAGGGAGGGGGACACAGCTGGGATACAAATTGAATAAATTGTAATAAATGATAATAATTTAAAATTTTTTTAAAAATACAAAAGGCTATTCTAGAAAAATGTTACATTCTTTCAGGCATTTATAAAAGTGAGAACTATTTTAGATAATTTCTCCTGATAGAACCAAGCATCATGTCACTTTAATGTTGTGCAGCAAATATCTTCCTATATCTTTTTTTTTTTTGAATAGCTGGATTTCCTTTTATAAAATTAGTGAAAGCATCCAAAGTACGCTTTATACTGTTTTACAGGTTAATGTTTTCAAAATATGTATTATTCATATCTGTCAGGTCTAAATGTCATTTCTTTTTTTTTTTATTAATTACACTTTATTCATTTTGTATCCCCCCATAAGCCCCTCCCTCCTCCCCTCCCGATCCCACCCTCCCTCCCCTTTCTGCATGTATGCCACTCCCCAAGTCCACTGATAGGGGAGGGTCTCCTCTTCTTTCTGATCTTAGTCTATCAGTTCTCATCAAAAGTGGCTGCATTGTCCTCTACTGTGGCCTGGTAAGGCTGCTCCCCCCTCAGGGGGAAGTGATCAACGAGCAGGCCAATCAGATTATGTCAGAGGCAGTCCCTCTTCCTATATCTTAAAAGGCTTTCCCTAGTATTGTTTTTTTTTCTACTCCAATTTTAAACTTATGCATTCCTAAGCGAAAAACATACAAACTTTAAATAAATTTAAGTTCCTTAGTTATTTGTCACCATTGTATCTTTCTGCATTTCGGTTGTAAATTTTCTTCTATATATATTTATATATACTTCATATTTTTTTATATAATGGGTGTTTTGCCTGCATGTATGTCTGTAAACAACGTGTGCACAGTGCCTGTAAAAGCCAGAAGAGTCAGGTGGACCCCCTAGGGATGGAGTTCCAGATGATTTTTAAGCCAGGTGTGAGGGTGTGGGGGGGTGTGAGGGTGTGGGGGTGTGTGAGGGTGTGGGGGTGTGTGAGGGTGTGTGTGTGTGTGTGTGTGTGTGTGTGTGTGTGTGTGTTACAGATGGCTGTAAGCCAGCAGTGAGACACTCTTCGTGTTTGTGCACATTTGTCTGGAAGAGCAACCAGTGCTCTTAACTTCTGAGCCATCTTCCCAGCCCCAGTTGTACATTTTTCAATGAAATGGACTGAATAACAAATGTTATGCTCTTGGGCAAAAAACTTCTCTGGCCTTCAATTTTCACATCAGTTATATGATAATTTTGAAGTAATAATACTATAGGTCTATGAAACAATTAAAAACGAGGGACTTCTGAAGACACTAAAAAGAAAGAAGATTAGTTTCTTTAAGCAAATACGCTTAGTTATCCGTGGCTTAAGGTGGGGTCGTGTTAAAAACATGATAGAAGTTTAGGTGAGAAGATGAATTAAACATCTCCGAGCTGGTCGACCTATCGATTTACTATTACCCTTTCCTTTCCCACAAACAGTAAAGCTGTAGAGACAGAATGAATGCACCGTATTGCTCAGTTCTGAAAGCTGATCACTAGTGACCACGGCCCAAGGCACTAGCTTTACATGATACTCTTCTCCTTAACCTTTATAAGGCCCAGGGCCGAATTACGGGTGATGTAGTCACCTGGGTTCAAAGTCTAGGGCACTCCTAAGCAGTCAAGAAACGACCCTAGAGGCCCCATGGCACAGGGGCCCTGGGCAGGGTTTGAAAGCGTGTCATCCAGTAGATAGGGGTGGGTGCAGGGTCAAATGCACGAACCGCCGTTCTCCACCCCGTTCCCACCCTTCCACCTAGACTAGGAGGATGGGAGATGAAGGCGCTCCGTCGCCGTGACAGGCTCAACGCTCTTGGGTCGGCGCTGGGCCACAGCTCTGGCGCGCCTCCGCGCTTACGCTGGGCACAGCCAGGACAGAGCCAACGCCGTCCTAAGACTCCGGCCCGCCGCCCGCCTCCCGGCTGCGGCTTCGGACCCGGCTAGAGCTGAGAAGGTGGCTGCCAAACCAGCCCTTACCACAGTACCTTCCCAGGAGCTCCGCGCCGGACGCAGCCTCCGCCTTGCAAAGTCGATCCCCTCCGTCGCCCGGGAGCAGCCGTGGCACCGCAATCAGGGGCGGCACCGCCCCGCCCCCGGCCTCCAGGAGGGCCTCGGCCGGGACAACATGGCTGGTGCCGCCTCTGCCACGTCAAAGGGGAGGAGGCGGGGAGGTGCGACCAACGGAGGGGCGGGGCGAGACGGGCGGGGGCGGGGACTGTCCCGGAAGGGGCGGGGCGCGCGGGAGGTAATGGGCGCGAAGAGTGGCGGAAGAGGTGGAACAGGAGTAACAAAGAGGGTGGGGCGAGCAGGGAAGAGGTTCAGCCAGCGGGAGGCAGGAGGAGGGGACAATGCGCGAGGGGCGGGGCGAGCGGGCGGCAGGCGGGCGGGGCGAATGGCGGAAGGGATTTAACCGGAGTAATAAACGGTGGGCCGTGGCGGAGAGGCAGTGGTCGGCTGGTCCAGTTAAGGCCAAAATGCCTGACTGAGACGTTGCTGGCAACGAGAAGAGAAATTTACGTGAACCACCACGTGGGGCTTCCGCGCCTAGTGTTTGCCTGAGTAACTGTTTTTCTGTTTTCCGGTATATATATAAAAAGCTCTGGCAAGGTTTTTTTTTCTGAGAGGTTTTATCCGTGTGTTCAAGTGGAGAACAAGGGGCTAGCCAACAATACTTAAAGCGTTCACTAGAAAAAAATACTCGGATTCTCCTAATTTTGAATTTTCGTCAGTGTGTCAAGAATCAGTGAGAGGGCTCAGCCGGTAAACTCGTTTGCCGAGGACACTCAAGGTGAAAGGAGAGACCCTGCTTGATCCCGAAAGCTGTATTCGCGCCTCCGCACCTGCTAAGACATGCACGCACCCACACACGTGCGAACGTAAAAAAGTAATCTTAATTTTTTTTTTTTTAAGTATCTCGCTAGGCTGGTTGTGGCGGCTCGTGCCTGCAATTCCAATACTCAAGGTCCAAAAAAAAAAAAAAAAAAGGCAGCCCAGTTTAAGTTACACTGCCAACTGTAGACCCTTCTGGGCCTACAGAAGAAATAGTCTCAAAAACCTAGAAATGATCCAGGTGTGGATTTTGGTTCACACCTATCATCCCAATACTCAAGAAGCTGAAGCCGGAGGATTTTGAGGCCAGCTTGAGCAATCTCATGAGATCCAGAATAACCTGAGCTACACACTAAGATGGTATCCGAAGAGGTAAAAATAAGTAAATAAGCTCTCCATCCATCCTCTCTGTCAATTTTGTTCCCCGCGAAATCAGAAACACACCACCCTCTTCAAAGGGTTGTAAAATTTAGATGACTTTAGAATCTAAAAACGGTAATTACAGCAATACTGTTCATCAATTCAGAAAAAAAAATTGAAGATTATAAAGTTCCTCTTCAGTCCCTGCCCCCTACCAAGTTTGAGAAGATAAAATGGAATTAGGTTTAAAAAAAAAAAAAAATTATACTAGAAAGTCTTTAGGAACCACTTTTGCCGGGAACCATGCTCACGCTCTTCATTCCACCGACGGAGCCATAAACTTGATGCAACTAGCAGCCTTGTTCCTGTGCGGCTCCGCCCCCTTATATTCCCTTAAATGGCCAGTCAGCGCCGCCGGAGGTCGCTTTAGCGCCTGCGCCGTGCTTAACTGGGCGCAGGCGCCAATAGAGATTGGCGGGATTGAAAACCATGGCGTGGGTTCCAACCGAGTCTGCGGTGGAAGAGTTGATGCCACGGTTGTTGCCTGTGGACCCCTGTGACTTGACGGAAGGTTTTGATCCCTCGGTACCCCCCAGGACGCCTCAGGAATACCTGAGAAGAGTGCAGTGAGTGACTCTGCCCTGTGACCCTGGGGGTAGCCCTGATGCCCGCTTGAACCCCCTGTGTGAGACAGAGTCCCTCCTCTGTTCGGGTGTCTATCTCTCGGGAGGTCCGGAAAGTTTAAGATCCCTATATTCTATCCTACCGTTGACTAGTTTCTTTAACTCGATTGCACGTTAAGACGTGTACTCTTAAATTTCTTTCCTTTTATTCCAGATGTCAGGCGTTTAGTTCTTTAATTGGGAGTCTGAATTTTATTTCCGAATTTATAATGAAGTAAAATGCACTACTGTACAGCACGCGAGCAAAGTGCAAAAATAAATTTTATGCATTTCTTACGTGTAGGATCGAAGCGGCGCAGTGTCCAGATGTTGTGGTAGCCCAAATTGACCCAAAGAAGTTGAAAAGGAAGCAAAGTGTGAATGTCTCTGTGAGTTTTACTAAACAACTGGGAATTGGGAAGGGGAGCAAAGGGGGATTTCGAGACAGGGTTTCCCTGTATAGTCTTGGTTGTACTGGACTCGCTTTGTAGAACAGGCTGGCCACGAACTCTCAAGGGATCCCCTTCCTCTGCCTCCCAAGTGCTGAGATTAGAGGCATGGACCACCACACCCAGCAAACAGAGAATATTCTAACTACACACAAGACTAAAGTTTTGTTTTGTTTTTTTTTTTTCCTATTGTAACAGAAATTATCAGTTATGGTCTATATGGTAATTAGATTGCTCCTTACAAAGTTAGACATCACTTAGAGGATAACTCAGGAGCATTTTGATTTGAAGGCCAGTCTGGAAATAATTCCAGGCCAGCCTGCATTATGAGACCCTCTGAAAAGATGTGTATGTCATTTGACTACCCCCACCCCAAAAGAAAAGTACTTCAATTCCTTACTAATACTGATCTTTATAAGTAAATTTTTTAAAAAATCTGGGATTTCCTTTGTAGTTATTATCAAACTGGTCCATGGTGCACTTTCTCAATTTGACCTGATACCATTTTCTTAGACTGGAAACACAAATGTCTTAATACCTTTCCATCCTTTCTGTGCATACTCTGGTCCTTATGCATTTGCTTATCCAGCATACTCTTTATTAAGCAATTAGGTTGTGCTGGGCACTAGGAACCCAACAGAGGATAATATAGAAAGGGTGCCTACAGACCAGGCATGTTGGTAAGCACTCGTGTAATCCTACCACTTGCAGGTAAGAGACAGGGGTTGGGAAGTCCAGATCATTTTCAACTACACAGAAGGTTCTGTGCTATCCTGGAATATATAAGGCTCTGGTCAAAGGAAAAGGAAAGTTCACTCTGCTTGTACAGTGTCAGTCTCCTGAAGGACACAAAAGATAAGCATTTCCATCATCTGATCAACACAGAAGATAAACAGCAGTCAATAAGTAGCAACTACTGGATGTTCCTCTAGAGTATGCAGGTTCACTTCCTAGCAGCCCACAATCAGCTCAAACTCTAGTTTCAAAGGATTTGATGCTCTCTTTTCACCTCTTCGGCCACCAAGCACGCACCTGATACACAGACATATGTGCAGAGGAAACACTCATACACATAAAATAAATAAAGCTTTCTAATAAAAATCTCAGCCAGAAAAAAGAAAGAAAGAAAAAAATCTCAGCCAATTATGATAGTACATGGTTTTAATGCCAACACAAGTGAGTCAGAGGCTGCCAGACTTCTGTAAGGTCAAGGCTAGACTGCCCAGTCTACATAGTGATTTCTAGGACAGCCAAGGCACATAGAGAAACCCTACCAGAAAAAGAAAAAAAGAAAGTGGGGGAGGGAATCTCTCAGGGAAGGTTCTATTTAACCTGAGGTCAGGGTTTGGTTATGTAGACAATGTCCTGCCTGCATGTGTGCCTGCATACCAGAAGAGGGCACCAGATCTCATAATAGATGGTTGGGAGCACTCATGTGATTGCTGGAAATTGAACTCAGGAACTCTGGAAAGCAGTCAGTGTTCTTAACCTCTGAGCCATGTCTCCAGCCCAATTTTGAAGGTTTTAAATATGTTTATGTTTGAAGTAATTCCTTTAATGTTTATAATTAGGATGTTTTAATTCAGGTACCGGAAGGTTTTATGTAACTTCACAAGACTTTACTTAATGGCACATGGTTTCATGTATACTTTGTTTTTTGTTTTTCAAATCTACCCTGCTGAGCTTTATTAAAAGGCGATACTGATCATTTGTTAACTGTTTGCTATTTTGGAAAGTAAAAGTAAGGCTGGGTGTGTAGAATATTTAGCCACCTTGTTTGTTGTAATGCCTTCCCCCATCCCCAAAAGAAGTAAAAGAAAACAAGTAGACCTTCAAGTCATGTATCTTTAAGTTATTCGGTAAATTTTGACTACCCCCAAACTCTTCATTTAGGGTGTATCTCACTTTTTTGTTTCTCTTCACTATTATAGAAAAATAGAATTAAGTAATATCCTTCAGCCAGGCAGCAGCCATGGTGGCATACACCTGTTATCCCAGCCAGCACTTGGGATGCAGATGCAGGCAGATCTCTGAGTTTGAGGCCAGCCTGTTCTACTGACCAAGTTCCAGACAGCTAATGCTGCACAGAGAGACCCTTTCTCAAAAAAAAAAAAAAAAGAAAAGAAAAAAAAGAAAGAAAGAAAGAAAAGAAAAACTATATCCTTCAGGTTCATAGTACTTAGATTTCATAGAAAACTTCACCCATAATCCTTAAGTTCGTATTTTTCTTAGTAAAGTGGCAAAAGGTCTCTTTCATTAACTGGTCTGTTTTTCTGCTCTTTTAAAATGTGCCTTTATTTTCTTCTGTAATCGTGTTCACTGAATGTACTTACTCTTCATCTTCTAGTTACACCACTAACATTGACTCTGACATTTGTGAACTCATTTCCAGCTTTCAGGATGCCAGCCTGCCCCTGAAGGTTATTTCCCAACACTACAGTGGCAGCAGCAACAAGTGGCACATTTTTCAACTGTTCGGCAGGCAAGTTTTCCTTATAATCAAATTAAACTCCCTCAGGTGTATTTCTGTTCTTAGACTGTAATTGGAAAAATTATAAATACACAAGTATTTATGAATCAGTTACCAAATGTTCTAATCTTTAGGTCTATTAGTATGTATTTTCTAAATTTGGAGATGTTTAGCGTTTTGTATAAAAGCATTTCTTTTTAATCTTTCATTCTCTGAAGATCATTATTTTTTTTCTTCCTTTAGAGCGTGAACAAGCATAGGAATCACTGGAAATCACAGCAGTTAGATAGTAATGTGACGATGGTATGTGAGTTTCTTGGCTTACATTGTACAGTGTGTATGCCTGTTTGAAATAATCCATAATCTAGCCTTTAAAGAATTAATTGCTTAGTCCGTATTATTTTGATTTTCCGTCATATACCAATATGTAAGTATATCAGTTTGTTATAGTAGTAGCCTGAGCCAGTTCATGTTTGGTTTTTATTTTGTTTTGTTTTTGCTTTTGAGGATATTGCTGTATCACCCCAGCTGGTATAGCACTCATGATGTAGACCAGGATAAGCTCAGACACAGGAATCGGCCTGCTTCTGCCTCTGGAATGCTGGGATTAAAGGCATGCACTACCAACTCTGGCCCATGAGTATTTTAATTCACCTTATCTTGAGAGATTTATGGTATGTGAAAGTTGTCAGGATAAAAATAAGAGTATTAATGTTAAGTCAGTTCTAATAATTAAATAAAGCTGAGAAGTTAGGAAGTGTTCTTAGGGATTATTGCCTAATAATAGCCATAAAAGACTGTCCAACTACTGTCTTACACTAAGACCACCACCACCTTTACAAAAGTACTTCTATCTCAGGAGTAGTGGCACTCTCCTATAATCCTAGCACTCTGGAGGCTGAAGCAAGAAGGTCATAAGTTTGAGGCCAACATGAGCCACATAATAATAGGTTAATCTTGTTAATCTTGTCTCAAAAAGGCAAACAAAGCTAGGTGGTGGTGATGCATTCCTTTAAATCCCAGCACTTGGGAGGCAGAGGCAGGCAGATTTGAGTTCAAGGCTAGCCTAGTCTACAGAGAGACCCTGTCTTGGGGAGGCGGGTATTTTTGTTTGCTTGCTCTGCTTTTCTCTGTGGAGCTGTCCTGGAACTCACGAGGCTGGCTGCCCTTAGTTTCTTAAAATCTGCTATGTGGTTCATCCTAGCTGTAAATTTAGAATCCTCAAGCCTCTGCCTCCTGAGTGTTGGGATTGCAGGCATTGAGTGAGGCCATGTAGTCATCTCTATTTTTTCATTTAGGCTGACTAATGGTGCTTGTGTGACCTCTTCAGGCTTTTAAGGATTCTTCTAAACTGTTGCTTTTTTAAAAAATATAAATACATTTTCAGTATCTAAAAAAACACTGAAAGGGGACTTACTAGGATTTCTTTTTTTTTTTTTTAAAGATTTATTTATTTATCATTTATACAATATCCTGCCTGCATGCCAGAAGAAGGCGCCAGACCTTATTATAGATGGTTGTGAGCCACCATATGGTTGCTGGGAATTGAACTCAGGACCTTTGGAAGAATAGCCAGTGCTTAACCTCTGAGCCATCTCTCCAGCCCTACTAGGATTTCTTGATGAGATAATCATGTCATATGCTTCACAGTAACATGAAGCCAGTGATCCATAGTGGGGGATACTGCCCTCTCTATCAGTTTAGATATAATTAATTAAAAGCTCCTCAAATTTTAGCATTTAAAGATTGTACTTGGGGAAGAGATGAACACATCGTTTTAGGCAATATTCCTAAACCTTGTAAGGGAATCACAAATCTAAGAAAATTATGAGAGCTATTTATCTTCTGAAAGGGAAGAACATGTATTCTCTATGATCCAAATTTCCCTTATAAATAGAGCAGTCAGGGTCTGGTGAGATGGCTTAGTCTGGGAAGTTGATTGCCTGCAACCCTGATGACCTGAGTTTGATCCTCAGGACACACATGCTGGAAGGCAAAAACCAACTCCTTCAAGTTGTTCTCTGATGTGTGCACACACAACTGAATAATGGAAATGCCTTCTGATTTTGGAAAAGAGGCCATCAAGTTGGATTAGAGTTCACTCTTATAGTTTTAAAGGTCATGTCTCAAAGGCAGTCACAGCCTACAGTCCTGCAGTTACAGCCTCATTATAGCAATATGGCGTGCATACACAATTATATCCTTAGCCAGCACCATGTCTTTGTGTTGGGGTAGTCAGGATGTAAAGAGCCTTCACTTTTTTTTTTTAAGACTTAATTTATTTAATGTACATAAGTCTCCTATCTGCATCTACACCTGCACACCAGAAGATGGTACCAGATCACATTGTAGACTGTTGTGAGTCACCATGTGGTTGCCAGGAATTGAACTCAGGACCTCTGGAAGAGCAGACAGTGCTCTTAACCACTGAACCATCTCTCCAGCTCCGAGCCCTCACTTTTTTTTTAAGAAAATGCACCAAAATTTTTATTTGTTTATTTATTGCATTTGAAGTACCCTTCAGTGACATCTTTTGCCTCACACTTTTTTCACTGTTCAATATAAAAATAAGTTGTTTTGTTTTGTTTTGTTTTGTTTTTCTTTCAGCCAAAATCTGAAGATGAAGAAGGCTGGAAAAAATTTTGTCTGGGTGAAAGGCTATGTGCTGAAGGGACAGTTGGACCATCTACAAACGAAAGTCCTGGGATTGATTATGTTCAAGTAGGTGATGATGTGGATAAACACAGGAAATGACAGAGGTGCAGACATCAATTACTGTTTTTGAATTATCTGTTTACAGCTTCTGCCAAATCCAGACCACAACCTGTTTGTGTACACCTCATACTACAAGTCGCTTGTTCTTTTTACATTGGTTGTTGAAAACCAGCACTTGGGAGATGGACGCAGGTGATCTCTGTGATTTGAAAACAGCGTGGTCAAGTATGACTAAGGCACATGTGACAATATGTGGCTGGCAAAAATTAATACTGTCTGATGCTGTATAAAAAAATAGTTACCGGGCCTGGAGAGGTGGCTCAGTGGTTAAGAGCACTCTCTGCTTTTCCAAAGGTCATGAGTTTAATTCCTGGTGACCACATGGTGGCTCACAACCACCTATAATGTGAACTGATTCCTTTTTCTGCAGAAAGAACACTCAAAATAAATAAATAAATAAATAAATTTATAAATAAACATAAAGTAAATTATAAACATAAAATAAATAAATCTTTAAAAAAAGAAAATAGTTACCAACCTCTCACTTAGTTCATGACCTGTTTAAATTAGAAAATGTCAGTTCCATTTCTGAAATAATTTACTGGGCTTGTATCTCTTATGTGTTAGTTATTATGAGTTAAAAGATATTAGAGGGGTTTTTTTGTTTTGTTTATTTTCGGACGGGGTCTGATAGCCTGCGCTGGCCTTGACTTCTTCCTGCTGGAGTCACTTGAGTAGCTAAGACTATATGTTGTCCTGTCTACCTTGGATTCAGGGCTTTCTGTGCTTTGATTTGATTTGGTTTTCTATGAAGCAGAGTTAGAAATTAATGCAGACATTTTTATATGGATTCAAAGCACAAAGGCTAATAGAGAAAGGAGCACTCAGAAATACACATCCTAAAACACAGGTGTGAATGTCTCAAGAATTGCTTTGGGGTTTTTTATGTTTGTTTTTTTTTTAATGATTGGGATGGATTAAATATTAAGTTATAAGTAGTCAAAAGCAGCTGCACGTTTGGCACACACCTGTAATCCCAGCACTCCAGTATCAAAGGCAGGCCTGAGTTCAAGGCCAGCCTGGTCTACAAAGCAGGCCAGAACAGCCAAGACCACACAGAAAAACCCTGTCTCGAAAAACAAACAAACAAACAAAGTAGTCAAAAACAAAGGAAAACTAATTAGAAAACTCTTGTTTGTTTTGTGTTTTATTGGCTTACTGTTTTTTCAATAGGGAAAGACTCACTGTGTAGCCCTGGCTCACCTGGAACTCCTGTGTAGACGGCTTTCTCAAACCCACAGTGATCCTCCTGCCTGTCTCCTGAGTGCTGGGAGTAAAGGCATGTACCACCATGCCTGGACTAATTAGGAATTTTTTTAAGTGATTAATAAACTTATACTTCAGATGAAATATTGAGAGTATCTTTAAGGTTTTCATGACTTTGTGGAGAGTCTTGCCCAGGCTGGCCTGAAAATCACTGTGTAACCCAGGATGACCTCAACCTCATAACCCTCATGATATCCTATCCAAACTATGTACATGGCTGCAATCATAAATTTTGTGGCTAACTTGTTCTTCACAATTAACCTGCCTCTAATTTTGAAGGTGTTCCCATAAAACCCATTGTGAGGACCAGCAGATGGCTCAGTGGGTAAAGGTGTTTGCCATCAAGACTTATAACTTGAGTTCAATCCCCAGAACCCACATGATAGATGGAAAAAGTCAACGCCTAAAGATTGTCCTCCCATCTAAACACACACACCATGGCACATGTTTGCCCAACCACATACACACAAGAAAAATAAATATACACATTTTTAAAATGTTGAGACCCACTGTATACATTTGCATTACAGCATATATATGTAGTTTGCTTGTTTTATGTTTTTTGAGGTAGGGTCTAACTATGTAGCCCTGGCTAGCCTGGAACTTAGAGAGATCTGTCTGTGTCAGCCTTATGAGTACTGGGATTAAAGGTGTGTGCCAAAAATCCCCAGACTCTCCATGTTGTTCTATTTAACAAATAACTTGTTTGCTTTGCAGTACTATATTTTTGATTTTCCTGCTTTAAAACTACTTCCCAACCAAGGCCACATGGCACATGTTCAATCTCAAGTACAGCAAAAACAAAAACCTCGTTCTCAAAATTTAAAGAGCTCCAAAACTCACTTGGGAAAAAAAAGGGAAAGAAAAAAGACATAGAGATTTCACAAAAAAGAAATATAAACTTTTTATAGAATATACCTAACCTCACTCCTTGTAGGACTGTTATTAATTTGGCTTGTTACTATAAAATATATAAGACTGTCTCAAACAAAAAAAGTTAATGTTTTCAAGTAGTATTGTTATGTTTTTTAAATTGTATACTTTGACATTTCAGTTAAAGTAGTACACATTTGTAATCTTGGCACTCAGTACTTGTGAAACTGAGGCAAAAGGATCACTTAATGCTCTTAAATTTTTTTATATGTGTGAGAAAGAGAGAAAGTGTGTGCATGTGTCGCACCTGGTGCCCAGTGGGGCATCCAGATCTGGAACTGGTGTTTCAGGTGATTGAGAGCCACTTGACATGGGCGCTGGAAACTGAACTGGGAACCTCCTCAAGGCCAGCAAATATCTACCCTTCTCTGCTGAGCCATCTCACTTTTTCTCTGCTCATTTGTTTGTTTGTTTTCCTTTCCCAGTAGTGAGACTTAAGCTCAGTGTCTAAAACACTCTCTCCAAGTGCTCTATCACAGAGCTAAATATCCAGCCCTTGGAATTTCCTGCCTTTTGTTTGGCAAAAAATTTACCAGTTTGAACAGAAAAAAATGACAACAAGCCTGACTTGTGTTGTCATTTAGTAAATCTCACTCTCTCTCTCTTTTCTTTCAGATTGGCTTTCCTCCCTTGCTCAGTATTGTAAGCAGAATGAATCAGGTAAATGTCATCAAATAATAATACAGTCTTTGGCTTGCAGTCTATATGAAAGGGTTTGAGTCTATTTACTCAGTATTTACAGTATGCAGGGTCTTGTTCTAGGCCCTACAGTGATTCTGATTACATTTCAGTGTGAAAAATTCAAGTTAATAGCTGTGTTTTATAGCTGAGGAAACAATGTCATTAAGTAAAAGGATCCATGACAGGTGGAGCATTCCTTACATGGTGCGAAAGTACCCATTTGTGTTCATTTCAGTTATAAGTATTCATTCCACATCCAAAATTTAATAGGTTCTAGTTATAAAGGGCCCACCTCAGCACAGTCTATGAAGATTGAAATAGATCATTTATTGGACCAAAGGGGGGAAAACAAGTAAGTTTTCATTCTTTAGTCTTTTAGGAATAGAAACTTTTTATTGCCAAGTAAATGAAACTAGTCAGAGCATGTCTTTAATCCCAGCACTCAAGAGGCAGAAGCAGGTGGTGCTCTGTGGCTTTGAAGCCAGCTTAATCTACATATTGAGCTCCAGGACAGCCTGGGCTCTGGAAAAAGGAAAGGAAAGAAGCTAGTAGTTATAGCTTAAGTCTATTACTTGGGTTTTGTTGTTATTTTTTTATTTGTTATTTATACTGTATACTGTCTGCATTTGTGCCTGCAGACCAGGATTGGGCACCAGATCTCATTATAGATGGTTGATTATGAGCCACCATGTGGTTGCTGGGAATTGAACTCAGGACCTTTGGAAAAACAGCCAATGCTCTTAACCTCTGAGTCATCTTACCTGCCCGGGTTTTTGTTTTTGTTTTAGTACCCGATTACATTTAAGTAAGAGAATATGCTCAAGTGTTGATAATTTCATCTGTGTATCTTTAAAATATCCTCCTCTAGCTAAGTTTGTTTCTCTTTAGATTTGATTTTCAGCTTAATTTGAATTGGTAAGTAAACTGAAGGTTCTTTTGTAGGAATATTTGAAACTTTTTATTAGTTACAAACTAGTTTTTAAGCCTGAGATTTAAAGCCTAAGTTGATGCTTTAGAGTATCTCTTAAAAAGTATTTCTCTTAAAAGACTTTCTAGCCAGGCATGTGCACTCATGCTGTTAGTGGTAGCACTCAGGGCAGAGGCAGGAGGATGGCCACAAGTTCAAGGCCAGCCTGCTCCACATCCAGGCTAGCCAGAGCTACATATTGAGACTCTGTTACAAGAAACAAAACAAAAAGCCAATTGCTAGGTGTGACCCATCCAATGAAAGTACCCATTACTCACAGTGATCTTTGGAAGCCTACCGAACACAGCCATATTAACCCTGATAGTTGCTTTTAACAACAATTAATGTAACTCATGTAGAACTTGTCATCGTTTTATCTCTAAAGTCACTCTTTCTTGTCCTTACTCCATCTCTCTCTCTTTTTTTTTCCTTTTAGGCAACAATTACTAGTGTCTTGGAATATCTGAGTAATTGGTTTGGAGAAAGGGATTTTACTCCAGAATTGGTAGTATTGCATCTTTTTTCTTTTCATTATGCAGGCAAAGTTCTTTTTACTTATGTGACTGCAGTTTTTATACTTACATATGTATACAATATATATGTGTTCATGTTTTCTACTTTTAAAATTCAAATCTTGTTTATAAAGACCTAATACCATAAGATAAATCAGTATGTTTTCCTCATTGAGAAGTTATAGGTGTGGGAGTTCAATGACACCTACCTGTAAAATAGAGTATTGGGAGACGGATATAGGCATTTGAGAGGAGCCTCGGCTACATAGTGAATTGTAGGTCAACCTATACTACAGAATAAGACCTTGTCTCAAAAGTACAAACAAGATGCAAACAATAGGAGCAAGTACTACATTGCATGCACTATTTCTACAATTCTTCATTAACTCTTTCAGAATTTATGAGCTATCAGCCCCATTTTGCAGGTAATAAAGTTAAAATACAATTGGGTTTAGTAGATGTTTTACAGTTATACGGTCCATCAAAGGTATTGCTCACACTTTATCACAAGACCTTCACTTGGAACTTTTTCATTCTTTAAAGCCTTTTTTTTTTTTTTTAAATGAAGTAGAGTTGGAGTTTAATAAAGTGTTTTTTGGTTTTTTGTTTTGTTTCATTTTTTAAAGACAAGGTTTCTCTGGGTAGCCTTGGCTGTCCTGGACTCACTTTGTAGACCAAGCTGGCCCCAAACTCACAGAGATCCATCTGCCTCTGCCTCCCAGAGTGCTGGGATTACAGATATGTGCCACCACGCCAGTCTTAAAAATATTTTAATACAAAGTGTAAGCACAGGAATTAAGAGAAAAAACTGTAAAGAAAATTGAGGCATACCAGGAACCTGGATGTGGTCTTCTCTGAGAGTCACTCTTTTAAATCCTCAGGTATAGGGTATACCTATAATTCTAGTACTGAGTAGGCAGAGGCAGGCTGATAACTTGTGAGTTCAAGGCCTGCCTGGGCTACATAGCAAATCTGAGGACAGCTAGGAATACAAAATAGGCCCTGTCTCAATAAAGAACAAATTTTTAGCACATATTTTTTTCATGAAATAGTACACATTAAAATCACTGGTGCTAATTTTTTTCTAGGGTCAAACCTGTCTTTCACATAGTTTTAATCATTCTATATATTGTAACAGCCTGAATTACAAACATTTCAAAAATCAGAAATTTTATATGGATGACAAGACTGAAGATAGGGTTTTTTAATTTCCTTAATACTTAATTTTTTTTCTATGTAAACTGTTATTTTATTTATTATCAAAATACCTTTTCAAGAGTATAGCTACATAAAACCCCAAAGCATTGTGGTTCTTTAAGGAAAGGGGTATTCATTTGAGCTCACGGTCTTAGGATTCTCATTCCCCTGCTGCCTGGCTCCATTGTTTCTGACTTCAGTGAGGCAGAGCGTCTTGATAGAAGGGAGTCATGAAGCAAGCACAACTGCTAATGTCATGAGGGTTGAGCAGAGAGGACCCAGACTGCTATTCTGTTTGCAGTATATATAGTTCCTTTGTGTGGGTCCAGGGAACAAGCTTTAATATTAAAATGGTTTGCACTACTGTCTATGAAGACAACAATTTTTATATACATCTTAAGATTTTGTTTTGAGTAGCACTGAAGATTGAACCTCAGCTTTATATATATAAAGCTTATATGCATATATATATAAAGACTAGGCAAGTCTTTACAGTGAGCTCTACCTTCAGCCCTCATTTTTCTGTTTCATTTTGAGACATGATCTTCTTAAGTTGGTCTGGCTGGCCTTGAACTTGTAATTCTCCTGTCTCAATAACCCCACCCCACCCGCCGCCAAGTGACTAGCACTACAGGCTCACCAGACCTAGCAATTAAGAGTTTTGTTTATGCTCTTTATAAACCTTTAATTTATAGGTACTTTAATTGACAGTACTATAGAAGCAGAGACAAACATCTCTCTGAGCTGGAGGCCAGCAAGAGATACATATTGAGACTCTGTCAAAAAAACAAAAAAAGACTTTTGCTTATAATTGAGAACCTCGGGACAAGGCATGATGTGCACCTTTTTAATCTCAGCATTAGTGAGGAAGAAGCAAGTTGATTTCTGTGAATTCTAGGCCAGCCAGGGCTACACAGACCTTGTCTCCAAAATAAAAAATAAAAATGGGTCAGAAGGACTCAACTGTAGTACAAATATCAGAAATGAATTTGCTGGAAATCGGGAAATATTTTGAAGTATCTAGTGGCCTACATCTGTGGTTAGGAGAGCCAGTATTTGCCTGTCCACACATTCCTCAATTCATTCATAACATGAAAGCAGGTAACAGCATTGGGCATTTAGAAAATGGGCATTTCATTATTTGTCTACTTATTGCTTCTTAAACTTTTACCTAGGGAAGATGGTTTTATGCTTTGTTGGCTTGTCTTGAAAAGCCTTTATTACCTGAGGCTCACTCACTGATTCGGCAGCTTGCAAGAAGATGTTCTGAAGTGAGGCTCCTAGTGGTGAGTTATACTGTACTATTTCAGATTCTTAACTCTCTATTCATATAGATGGTGAAAAAGAGGATTCCAGTGATATGTGAAATAGAAAATATGACTATATTATTAGTTGAGATTAAAGAGGTCACAGAAAGAAAAAAGTCTCAAATATAGTACAGTAAATAACATAAAATCAGTTACGCTGGCACAAGGCTATAATCCAACATCTAGGAGAGCAAAAGAAAAGTATTGCAGATTGCAGTTCAAGTCCAGCCTGGGTTATATAAAAGACCCTCTTGAAAAATAAGGCTGAGGGAGGCCAAGCATGGTGGTGTGCACCTTTAATTCCAACAGTTTAAAGGCTGAGACATCTCTGTAAGGCCAGCCAAGACTACATAGTAAGACCTTGACTCAAAAATAACATTAATGGGGTGGGGGAAGTACATTTTTTTTTCCTCAGGTAAAGGAAGATTGAAGGACTGGATAGGATCTACTGGGACTAGATCCTAGTCATTGGTTCTGATGCTTAAGACTTTTCATCTTTGTCATTGTCTGTTTTATGTTTTGTAACAGAATATCTCACGCTCCTATTCATAAGCATGGAGGAAGTGAATCAGGACCTTGAATATGCTGCGCAAGCACTCTATCCCACCTACAAAGACAGTTACTTTAGCTTGGTTTTGGGAGCATAAAGTCCAAGGCTCCATCTGTTCTACCTTCCAACTACATCATAATATACTAGGGAGGATCACCTAATGGGAGTATGTCAGGAGCTATTCCTGCCTGATGTTCGGAAGGAAGGTGTCACACTATGTCATGCCCCTGTTGTAGTACTCATAAAACTAGAACCCTTGTAAACAGCAATAACTACCAATCCTTCTCAACAGTATCTTTCTTTAAATAATGATCTTGGGTTGACAACCTGAATTTGATCCCCTGGAAAGTATGTACACTGAAATTATCTACATACAAGTAACAGCATATGGAATGAGCAGATTATATATTTGAGTGTTTGGGAAGGGGTTGTAAAACAACAATTAAGAAAAAAGACATGAATTTGAGAGAGAGCTAGATGGGGTTACATGGAAAGGATTGGAGGGAGGAAATTCAGGAACAAGGAAAATGAGGTGTTTATATTTTCATTTTATAAATAAAAGATGGCTGGGTATGGTGGTAAAGCAGCACTCAATAGGTAAAGCAGGCAGATCTCTATTAGGTCATTCCAGTCTACATAGTGAGTTCCAGTCCAGCCAGGTAAACAGTGAGACCTTGTCTTGTGGTTGGATGGATAGATAGATAGATAGATAGATAGATAGATAGATAGATAGATAGAGTAAAAAATATAAATATCCTAATGTTTTCTTCTGTCTGTCTGCTCATTTGGGGACAAGGCTGACCTTAAACTCACAGAGATCCACCTGCCTCCCAGTCTCTGGTTCTAAGGCGTAAGTCAAAACACCAGCACCTTGGTGGGTTATTTCAATGTGATGATGAGAGTCATCTAATAAAAGTTTCACATTTTTTATCTTAAAAGGAAATTCATTATGAGAACATTGAAAAGGAAAAGGCTACTCTTTTTCTGTTTTTTCAGGGCAGTAAAGACGACGAAAGAGTTCCTGCATTGAATTTGCTCATCTGCTTAGTTAGCAGGTAAATTAAGAAATCTGGCAGGGAATGGTGGCACACACCTTTAATCCCAACATTTGGAGAGGCAGAGGCAGGTGATCTCTTGAGAGTTGAGGCCAGCCTTGTCCAGGACAACCATGGCTAACAGAGAAACCCTATCTCAAAAAAACAAAGGGGGTTTGGGAGAAGAAAGGAAAGAAAGAAATCTGATTTCCTGATTGTTATCAGTAAAAGGTAGACCATGTTTAATGTTTTGTTTTGTTTTTTGTTTTTTTGGTTTTTTTTTTTTTTTTTTTTATTTTTAGCTGTTTTTGTTTTTTTTTTTTTTGTTTTTTTTTTTTTTTTCCCTTTTTTTTTTTTTTTTTTTTAAATCGTTACTGGGGGTGGAATCCAGGACCTTGTCCATGTCAGGCAAGGGGTCTACCATCTAAGCTGTATCACCATTCCTTGTATCAGAGTTCTACCTGAGTTGATTTGAAATGCATTCTAAATCTAAACAAAAGGCACACATTGTTTTAGGTCTCTTCCTGGACATGTTTTACTCATTGAGTAGTGGTTTGTTATTGGGGTTTGTGTTAGTTTTTGTTTGTTTGTCTTGTTTTTGCTAGCACCTTTCTAGAGCTACATAATATGCTTAATACACTGAAGTCATTCCTTCACCTAAACAAGATAACCTTTTGAAAATACACACATACTCAACCTCTAGTTTCTTGATCTATACTAACTATGCTGTTTATTATATTTAATTTTACTAGGTACTTTATACCAAGTATTTTTCTTAGTGTGTCATAATAGGAACTCATTTAATCCTATATCATCGGTTTAAAGATGAGGAAACTGGCAAAAAGATGTGGAGTAACTTTCCTACATCACAGGGATAGTGTGTGGTAGATAGGATCCAAACCTGGGCAGCTTTACTGAAGAACTCAATGTCCCCTTCCCTCCCTACCCCACCCCTTTTTTTATGTGAAATGGGTGTTTTGTTTTTGGTCAGATGTGCTGTAGTTTATTATCTATTGAGCTGTTGTGCTCTTTTCCTGCTATAGGCAGTGTTGTACTTAATATGTATGCATACGCTGATTTCCTATTTTTCTAGGTATTTTGACCAGCGTGATTTAGCTGATGAGCCATCTTGATAGAGCTCATCTCCTGGTGATGGAAGATAGTTCTGTGTAGACAGCCTAAGTCTGAGGAAGCACAATGCCAACCTGAGGACAAAGTGCATCACTTCTTCAGTGTTACCTGAAGGTTTCATCTTAATCAGCAGCTCAGCCTGATACTCAAAATACAGACTTGATTGGTTTGAGTGTGTGAAGTATCTCCAGAGAAGCACGTCTGGTATCTAATGAACAGTTGGGAGTAGTTTTCATCAGTTGTGTGCATTGAAAATAGATCAAGTGTTACTTATATACTTAAGCAGCTTGCATAAAAACTGATGAAATTTTGTACAGGTCCCTGGTGCTGTTTCATTGTTTATAAGTATACATACATATTTTTGTTGAAATGTATTTTGGCTACTCAAATTTCATGTGACTCTTGAACAAAATAAAAGACAGTGAATGTCCTTAGAGTTGCAATTCATACAGTTGAAATGGCACATCTGTTCATAGTCAACAAAACGAATCAGTTGTTCACATTTAAACTCAATAGTTTCAGTTTAATTGCACCATCAAAACTTTTTCTAGCAGATCATTTTCAGTAATGTCCTAGTAAGCTGTACATGATAGTACGCACTTGTAATCCCAGCATTTGGGGTTTTAGGCCATTTTGGAATGCATAATAAGACTCTACCTCAAAAAAACAAGGGACTGGAGATGGTGTAGCAGTTAGCTCTTGCAGAGGACTTGGGTTCAGTTCCCAGCACCTATATAGCAACTGACAACAGTCTGAGACAACAGTTCCAAAGGATCTGACATCCTCTTCGGTCCTCCAGTTGCTGCCCTTAGTCCACTTCCTACTGGGGTAGCCAGGCACAGTGAGTGTAGTGCAGGCCCTCAATCGGAGACAAGTACTGTAGGTGAACAGCTTCAGAGAACTGGTTTAGTTTATTGGGTGAAAGGGGCTATTTATGGCCTTGGGAACATGTCTAGGGTCTCTGAGGCAAGGTTTTTCTGGCTCTGTACCATTGGCCAGGGCAGGGGCTTTGTAAGGTTTCATCTGCATACTCAGGCACTGTAGGACAGAGACAGACAGATTGCTGTGAGTTCAAGGCCAGCCTGTTCTACAAAGCAAGTCTAGGACAACCAAACCTACACAGAGAAACAAAAACAAACCAAAAATCCCAAAAAAGCTACTTCCCTGACAGTTATAAGGTTTCACTCCTTGTTTGACCTTACAGTTTAAAAAATTTAGCTTAGAGCCAAGGCTTATGTCAGTATTCCAAATAACAGCCTAAACATCTTTATGAGTATCTAGGAATGTTCAAGGTCTGTTGGAGTCTACCTGGCTGTCTTGAGCAAAAAGACTATCAGTCAAACAGCTGTCAGACTACCCATATGGCAGCACCAGCTTTTTTCATATTCCTTAAATATAAACTGAAAAGAGAGGCCATGAGTCTGAAAGAGTAAAGAGGGATATATAGCAGGGTTTGCAGGGAGAAAAGGGAAGGAAGAAATGTGATTATAATCTCAAAAAATATTCTCAAAACCATACACAATGTTTATAGATGATTGCCATGCTCCTAAAAACAAGACCTCAGGCAGGGCTGTTTAAAACAATTTACAAGAAATTGCTGTCACCAGCCCCATGACCTTTAGGTGGCTGGAGATGAAGCACTTTCCCAGCCGTCTAGCAAAAGAATACTGTGACTGATGCTAAAAAATGCAAGGCTTTAATTGGTGCAAACACAAACCCCCATGGCTGTGAATTAGTACTAAAAACACAAGGTAGTAAATGAGCTCAACACAGCTTCCGTGGCTATGACTGGTCCAAACATCTTTGTCTAGCTAAGCAGGCTGGACTGGCTCACTTAGTACATCAATTGGAAGACTGCTCTGCCTCTCAGGACTGTAATATGATCAAGAAAATGTTTCTCTTGAGTGGTCATTTTCAACCTATTTTCTGTAATGCAGGCTGAACAGACCTCCTAAGGAAGAAAGAGAGGAAGCAGGGGTTGGGGATGTATAGTTCAGTTGCCAAAATCTTTGACTAACACGAGTGAAGCCCTGGGTTTAATCAGCGTCATATAAAACTAGGCTTAGTGGCACATGTTTATAACCCCAGCACTTGGAGGTAGGTTGGTCAATTTAAGAATCCCCAACTACATCAACTGCATAGTAAGTCTGAGGTCATCTTGATCTATGTGGGACCTTATCTGAAAAAGAAAGAGAAAGAACAGCGGAGGGAGGGAGGGATAGTGTTGATTATCAATTTAACAAGATCTAGATTGCCCATGAGAAAGGCCTGCAGGCACATCTGTGAGGAACTAACCAGATTAAGGTTAGTCTGTGAGGTCTGTGATATTTTAACTGATGTGGGAAGACAACTGTGGACAGGACCAATCCCTACTTGGGGATTCTAGACTATAAAATGGATTAAACTGAGCTCTCTGCTTCCTGGTTGTGGATATAATTCGACTAGCTGCTTCAAGCTCCTGTCTCCTTGACTTGATACCTTGGATTATAAACCAAACAAACTCTTCCTCTCTTAAATTGCTTTTGTCAGGTGAAGAGCTGGGGGAGGGTAGAGAGCCAGGAGAAACCGCGGGCCTTGATCACCAGAATTGGAGTAATTAAAAGTCTCAGTGTGAGAACCTGGTCCATGTGCGCTAATATATTTATAATTCACAGGCTAAGGAGTCTTGACTTCTAGGCCTACACAAAAGCCCTCACATTCATTGCTGTTAAGGGCTAGGATCCTGTTAACCTAGACCTGCCTGTAAGCTGTGATGCCAGCTGCAGCCAAAGACTGAGGAATCCCTACTTCCTACAACTCAGTAGCAGAAAACAGCTGGACTAAAAACAGCTAGGATTGCATAGACATTTCACCAAAGAAGGAATACAAATGACCATGTGAGTATGAAAACATGCTCAGTTTTGGAATGCTCAACATTGCATAGGAAAATACAAACAAAACCAGAAGATATTACTTTATAGCACTTAGGATGGCCATATACTGATACGTGTGTGTGTGTGTGTGTGTGTGTGTGTGTGTGTGTGTGTGTCTTCCACATAAAATCTCAAACACAGACTCAACGTCCCAAGGCCTACATAGGGCTGTTAACACTCTACAGATGACCCACTTTCTGTTCCCATATGCTGTTGCCAAGTTTGGGGAAAACAAAAGCTGCCAAAGACCATTAAGAGTTTCTTGAGCTAGGGAGATGGCTCGATGGTGGAGAATGCTTGCAATTCCCAGAATATATATTAGCCAGCGGCAGCTATCATGAAAAACTCTAGCACCAGTGATCCCATGCCGAAGGCACATCCCCTTATGTGCACATACCTACATGGACACCCATAATTCAGAAAGAATTTGAATTTATTTTTATGTACATTTTGGTGTTCAGCACACATATATATGTGTGAGGGAGTCGGAGCCACTGGAATTTGAGGTACAGACCAGAGAGTTGTGAGCTGTCATGTGGGTGCTAGGATTTGAACCAGTTAAGAGCAGCCAATGCTCTTAACTGCTGAGCCATCTCTCCAGCCCAAGAATCTTTTTTTTTTTTTTTAAGATTTATTTATTTACTTATTGTATGCAAGTGCTCTACCTGCATGTACACTTGCATGCCAGAAGGGGGCAGCAGATCAATTATAGATGGTTATGAGTCACCATGAGGTTGCTGGGAATTGAACTCAGGACCTCTGGAAGACCAGCCAGTGCTCTAAACCACTGAGCCAACTCTCCAGCCCCTGAAAGAATCACTTTTTTAAAATATATCTCATCTATTCAAAATTTGCATCTGAGTACAGCAAAAGGACCTATGCCAGCTGTTTAGTGAAAATGAAAATAATGCTTGTAATTTTCCCCCTTTTGTTTTCCATAGCAACTGGTGGTGCCAATTTACATCCTAACAGTACACAAGAGATCAAGGGAACCAATAACTCGACACTGTCAGCAATATTTGTTTCGTTTTATATATACACACACATCATACTACATACTGGTCATCCTAAGTGCTGTGAAGTATTACCTTATGGTTTTGTTTGTGTTTTGCAATGCAAAGTTGAGCATTCCATCACTGAGCATGTTTTCATACTCACTTGGTCTTTTGTATTCCTTTTTTGGAGAAATATATATGCAATCCTAGCTGTTTTCAATCAGGCTATTTTCTGCAACTGAGTTGCTCGAGCTGCCCTCTGCCCCATGGTTTGTTGTTTGTTTTTATGTGCATTGGTCTTTTGCTTGCATGTGTCTGTGTGAGGTTGTCAGATCCCTTGGAACAAGAGTCACAGGTAGGTGTGAGCTACAATGGGAGTGAGAGTAGCCAATGCTCTTAACCACATCTCTCCAGTCCCATAAGAACTCGTTTTAAGAAAAAAAATATTTTTGACGATTTCATACATGTATATGTTATATTTTGATCATATTCATCCCACATTCCTCTTATCCCCCTCCCTCACCCTCCAGGACCCTTCTTCCCAACTCCACCTGCTTACTTATGTCTCTTTTTAAACTACCCACTGAGTGGAATTAAAGTTGTTTCCACACACATGGATCCAGGTCAACTTACCAGTAGCCACAGCCCTGCAAGTTGCAAAAGCTATTTATCTTTAGATATCTGCAATATCTTCAGTCTATTCAGCTGCTTATCTCTACCTATCTTCAAGGCTTTGGCCATGCAGCTTCTCCAGGCTGATGTAGCTCTATTTGTCTTTGTAATCCTGTGCCCAGTGCTCAGGGTGAGAGCCAAGAAATTATTGCCAGGATCAATTTTATGCTTTTCTCATTCGCTTCTAGCAATTTTCAGGATAATTTTGTTTTGTTTTAGACAGGATCTTTATGTAGCCCACGATTAATGGGAACTTTTTATTTGCTTTCTTTTTTGTTTGTTTGTTTTTCAGGACAGGGTTTCTCTGTGTGGCCCTGGCTGTCCTGGAACTCACTCTGTAGCCCAGGCTGGCCTTAAACTCACAGAAATCCACCTGCCTCTGCCTCCAGAGTCCTGGAAGTAAAGGTGTGTGCCACCACCACCAGGCTAAGAGAACTCATTTGCAGCTTAGTAATTCCCCTGCCTCCACCACCTGAGTGCTGGGACTGTGTGTACACTGCCAGCATGGCATTTATATATTCCTGGTGATGGAATTTAGAGCTTCATGAAAACTAGGCAAGTATTCTATCAACTGAACCACATCATAAGACCAGTTTTTCAGTTTTTATGTTTAAGTCTTTTATGCATCTTAGTTGACTGCTGTGTTCAGCATTAATAAAACAATCCAATTTCATTCCTTTGCATATGGGTATAATTTTCATAACATTTGTAGAAGAGACGTGCTGGTTGGATTTTTTTTTTTTTTTTTTTTTTTTTTTTTTATCAACTTGACAGAAGCCAGAGTCATCTAGGAAGAGCGCACCTGAGCTGAGAAAATGCCTCCATTAGACTGGAATGAGGAGCAAGATAGCATTCCTCCATGGCTTCTGTTAGTTCCTGCCTTCAGGTTTTTGACATGGCTCTCTCAGTGGACTGTGGCTCAAGATATATAAGCCAAATAAACCCTTTCCTCCCCAACCTGTTCTTGGTCAGTTTTCCTTTAACGTTTGTTTTTTTGTTTTGTTTTGTTTTTACTTTTGTTTTGGGAAGGCCTTTACCAGATCATAAAAATAACCTCATATTTTCTGGAGTATTTTATGATTTTATTTTTATATATAAACCCTTTAAGTTTGCTATAACCTCAAAAAAAAGGATATTCAATTTTCCTTATTATCTCCTGACTAACTTAACTGTTTCTACTAAACAAAGTTTCTTTTTGGCTACAATTAACAAAATACACACTGACTAACTAATGAAACAAGAAAACAGTTCTCAAAAAGATGAAGTACAAATGACCAATAAACTTATGAAAGTGTTCAACACTGGTCAGAAGAGAACTGTAAATTAAAACTACGGTGAATGCTGGAGAGATGGCTCAGAGGTTGAGGTTAAGAGCACTGGCTGTTCTTCCAGAGGTCATGAGTTCAATTCCCAGCAACCACATGGTGGCTCCCAACCATTTATGATGAGATCTGTTGCCCTCTTCTGACGTGCAGGTGTACATGCAGACAGAACATTATATACATAATAAATAAATAAATTTTAAAAAAAAATTTTTAAAAAACTAGGTTGAGATTACATCTCAACAGGCAGAATGACACTGATTTCAAACTGACAACGAATCCTGTTTAGGCTGTGAACTAAATGGTAGTTGTAGGAATTTAAACTGTCCAGCCAGTATGGAGGCTCAAAAAAGACCTACTATGTAGTCCAACTATACCACTGAGGTATTTACCAGAAAGACTTCCAAATAAATAAACAAATAAGAGATTCTTGCACATATGTATGTACTGTAGCACTACTCACAAGTGCTAGCTTATGAAATCAACCTAAGATTCATCAACAAAATAGAGAAATTGCCGTAGGAAATGGAGAGATGACTCAGTGGGTAAGGGTACACACTGCTCTTGTAGAGAACAGTTAAGTTCCCAGTACTCACATCAAGCTGATTGCAATCATCTGTAACTCCAGTTCCAACGGATCTTACCTCCTCTTCTAGCCTACTACACTCATGCTCACGCAAGCACACATGCATACGCATACACACACACACACACACACAGGCTTAAAACTAAAATTAGGGGCTGAAGAGATGGCTCAGTGGTTTTAAGAGCACTGTCTGCTCTTCCAAAGGACTTGGGTTCAATTCCCAACACCCACATGGCAGCTCACAACTGTCTGTAACACCAATTCCAAGGGATCTGACACCTTCACACTAAAGCACATAAAAATTAAAGAAAATTAAATAAACAAAAAAAATTTAAACATTTCTAAAAGAATAACCTATGTGCAGGAGTAAGTATAAAAATTACTTCCCAGCCTACCTAATATTCTTTGTCACTAGAGTTACCAAATTCACATTTAAACTAATCTACATTTCACTTTGATTAAATGAACAGAGGTCTCAAGGACTAAAATCTATTAAAGTAAAAGTAAACTTTCAAGCCATTTAGACAGCAACATGCATTTATATGTACATATATACACAATGTATAAATGAAATCCATATATAAGCATACAAATTCTCTAGACAAATAAATTATGAGCAAGACAATAAAAAGTAAGCTTAATTTAGTACAGTGGTTTGTTTTGTTTTGTTTTTAAATAACTAAAACAGATTTATACTTTAACAAATTTTGGTCATTTGAACACAAACTATTCTGATTGGTGCATATTTTTTTATACAGCAATTCAACACACCCTGAGTTTCACTTCTCAATCTATGCTTAAATACATATCACACTAAGGAAATAAAGATGTTTACAATAAAAAGCATTTGTTGCATCTTGGTGTCTGAAATGACATGCTTCACTGAAATCCCTTTGAACAGTTCAGTTAGTTTATGTCATGATAGAAGGACCTTTATCTAATTTGGTCTACATGAATCTGGTGAGATAACACCTTTGCACAGATATCCAAGGATGAGGTGAAACCAGGACTTGAAAATGCTTTGTACAGGCGTAGTCTCTCCTGTATTTCACTGCACTCTACAGCTTCTGTATCATCACCTGAAATTTGCCTGAAAAAGAAAACAATTATTCTTTGATTTTCCAGCACAAGGAAAACAAGCATATTTATCTCCATTCACGAAGTAGTTTCACTTAAAGAACTTGCTATGTCGAAGGTCTTTTTACACTCCTTCAGGTATTCAAAAAAGCCTATTCCATTGTATAATTATCTGGTTTATAATGAGGTATCTTTCCTACATCCTGGGTCTGTCTCTGTTTCTTTTCTCTTTCAACCCTTCTCCCCTCTTTCACTCTATTTCTCTCTATTTTGAGGCAGGGTCTTAATATGTAGTCCTGGCTCAGAGTTCACTATCTAGACCAGACCAGGCAAGCTTTGAACTCACAGAGATTGGGCTACCTCTGCTTTCCAAGTGCTAGGATTCAAGGTGTGAGTTACCATGCTTGGTGATTCTGGGTATTTCACTACTAATTTGTCTTTGGACAGAAAATTAATACAGTGAAATTCAACTAAACTTTATTCTTGGTTAGTAGCTCAAATGAAAAAGATAATATATATTACCAAAATAAATGTGAAATAAATGATACTAAAATGAAAGTATCAGCATTTTCAGTTTCAACATTGTAGCCTGCTATTTGAGACAAAGCTGCAGCCATCTTTATATTCAGCTTCCATTTTGTTTCTAAGGTGAAATTAATTTCAAAATTTTAAACTTTTCAACTCTGCCTCCTGGGAGCAGTTGTTCATAGCTGGCACTAGCAGACCTTGCCAGAGGGTCGAGCTGACCTTATATTTTACTAGGATTCAATAATGTTATAACCTATGCTTTATCATCTATTCACTTGGCTACGCTCTGGTTGCACATTTCTTATCCACACACCAGGCTACACTTTGGATGTATGCTAGAAGACCCTAAGCCACCTGCCTCATTTACCTCACCTAGGACCAGCTTACAAGTTAGCTGATAATACTTTGTCTAGTTAGCCAAAATGTTTACCTGCCCTCCCCATGCCTTTTGCATTTGGTTCTTTCTATAAAAACCCTGCTGTAAGAACTTGTAGATGTCACAGTTAAGCTGTCAAGTCCTTACTGAGGCCCTGACTGATCAGCTTGGAAAAGGAGTTCTAATAAACCATCCATATCTAACTGAAAATGGAGTCTGAGTGGTTTGTGTAGCTATTCTTATACCAGAACACTCAGTTTTTTAAAAAAAAGACCTGAAAAATGACTTAAAATATATGAAAGATAAATAAGTTAAACTTACAGGCAGGCATTGAAGATACTTCAGCTGTTACAATACTTTTTATTCCCAAGTCTGACAAGCCACCTCTGATTAAGCCACATGTAAATGCTAGATACTAAAAAGGGGGAAAAAAAAAAGTAAGGATTTACTAAAACCATAAAGGTACCAATAAACATCAAGTAGATTCAAGCTATGGTATCAATAAATCATTGCTGAATTTAAAAGGAAAATTGAAAAAGAGGATGTCAAAGAGTTTAGAACAAGAGGAAAAGGCAAGGAAAATAAAAAGGAATTGCAAAACTAGACTTTAATTCTAGCACTCCAGAGGCAAAGACAGGCAGACCTCTGTGAGCTGGAGGCCAGCCTGATCAACATAGTGAGTTCCAAGGCAGCCAAAAATACACAGTGAAACCAAAAAGGAAGCCAGGTGTGGTGGTGCATGCCTGAAACCCCAGCACTTGGGGAGGCAAAGGCAAGCGGGTCTCTATGAGTTGAATTCCAGGCCAGCCTGGTCCACAAAGTAAGTCCAGGTCAGCCAAGGCTACACAGAGAAACCCTGTCTCAAAAAAACAAAACAAAAAACAAACAAATTATTAAAAAAAAAAAAAAAGGAGAAAAAAGGTAGGAAAAGGCAATGTGGTACACCCCCGCATTATCCACTACTCAGGCTAAGGCAGGAGGATCAGTTCTTGAGGCAAGAATTGGATGCCAACCTGAGCAATATAGAGTAAGCCCTTACAGAACAACCTCTAATTAAAAAGAAAGAAACAGTACAGGTATTGTGAAAGAACTGTTAGAGTTAAACCTAAGTGAACTAAAGCACATGAACAAAATGACTTAAGCTTGGCCAGAACAAGACCCTGAATCTAGTGTAGTAACACAGAAAAATAGGTCAAGTTTAGTTCAAGAAACAGGGACAGCTTGTGTTTTCTATACTGTGTACAGGGATCTAACTAGACCCCTGGAGTATTACACTTAACTAGTTCTTTTTCTAGTCACTTTCTTGCATATTCAAGACTAATTTTTTTGCCTATTTTTTCAGCCTTCCTATCAATGCTGCTGACTAATCAAAGATCTGCTTCTCTTTCCGTTTTTTGCCTTTTGAGGAAGGTTCTTCTGTAGGTCAGTCAGGCCTCAAACTTACATGTCTTCCTGCTTCTGTCTCCCTGTAGATTACAGGCACGTGCTCCTATATAGAGCTTCCTACAATGAAGCTGGTGCTTGCCTGTAATCCTGCACTTGAGAGAATCAAGCAAGAGAATCACTACAAGTTGGAAACCAGCCTGGGCTATATGATAAGTGCCCCTGTTTGTTTGTTTGTTTGTTTGTTTGTTTGTTTTAAAGATTTATTCATTATTTATAGAGTATTCTGCCTGTGTGCAGGCTTGCACAACAGTAGGGCGCACCAGATTTCATTACAGATGGTTATGAGCCACCATGTGGTTCCTGGGAATTGAACTCAGGACTTTTGGAAGAACAGCCAGTGCTCTTAACCTCTGAGCCATCTCTCCAGGCAATAATAAGCACTTTTAACTCCTGAGCCATCAATTCAGTCCCCTAGTAAAAATCTTTAATTTATTCTTCATAACTGAAGAAACTAAGATGCCCTAAAGTTAAGTGAGAACTAAAAATAGTAAAATGTGATTAATAAAAAGAAAAATAATGAAATATATATATATATATATATATATATAAACCATAAAACATCATAACTACATTGTATTTACAAAAAAAAAAAAAAAAACAAGATATGGGAGGGAAATTTTTTTAAAAAGACAGCAATATAATACATGTGACATGAGGCAGAAGATAGGCTATAGTGGTGCACACCTTTAACCCCAGCACTCAGAGAAACAAAGGCAGGCACATTTCTGTGAATTACAGGCCAGCTTGGTCTACAAATGAGTTCCAAGACAGCTAGGGCTGTTACATAGAGAAACAGCTGTCTTGAAAAAAATTGAAAAAGGAAAATAAATGGATAAAATGCTATTAGAAGGAGTAGAAGGTCAGCACAAGGGACACAACAAACAAGTGGGGGAGGGCACTGGGTGAGGAAGACCAATAAAACCAAAAAGAATCATGACTTTGTAAGTAATTTTTAAAAAAAAATCAATAAAAAAATTGAGGGATGAGCAAGTATTTACAGATAAATATCAAAGTACACTTGACTAGATATATTTATGACTTTGAAGGAAACTTTATATTAAAATTTGTTATTCTAAAAAAAAAAAAATTTGTTATTCTGCCAAGCATGGTGACATAGGCCTTTAATCACAGCACTCAGGAGGCAGAGGCAAAAGATCTCTTTAAGTTCCAGGCCAGCCTGATCCACACAGCAAGTTTCAGACTAGTAGGCTACATAGAGAAATCCTGCCTCCTGCCTTCCCCACCAAAAAAAAAAAAAGCAAAACAAAACAAAACAAAAAAAAAAAAAAACCCACCCTAATTTGTTAGTTTTCTTTAATCCATCTGCTTATTCATTGATGTCTTTGTGAGACTAAATTCAAAACCCATACAAAGCCTAGAAACTCAGATATTATTAACAAACTTTCAGAAATAAATGACAACTATATTTCTTAAACACTTTAGCCTACCAAAGGAGCTGATAAACTATGAAATAACTAATTCTACACAGCTAATGTCTGTATATTTGAGTACCTTCACTGTAAGTATTAAAGAATCTGTAATAAGTCTACATTTAGCACTAAGAAGTAGTGTTTCTCTACTGCCCTACTCAGTCCACAGAAGCTGATGGGCAACATGCCTCCTGTTGTACAGAAATGGCTTAAAACAAAACAGTATAAGCAAAACCATTCTTCATTGAAGCAGTTTATTAAAAGGTATTTTTAAATTGGATTTTTAACATGAGGGATAATGAAAAAGCAGAGGCTGGAGAGTTGGCTCAGTGGTTAAGTATACTTGTTATTCTTGCATAGGAAGGAACTAAATTCCTATTCTCAGTACCCACATAGAAACTCACCATCCTTCATCCATCAGGCACACATATGATGCACAACATATAAGGAAGCAAAACACTTGTATACACAAAATAATAAAATAAAAAGACAAGGAATAAAGAGACCTAAAGATATATATATATATATATATATATATATATATTTTTTTTTTTTTTTTAAAAAAGAGAAGATTACTTAAGGGCCTGGGTATGGGCTTCCCAATGAGTTGCTGAAATTACTATGTTTAATGTGAATCTGTTGTGATTGATTCTGTAATTTTCCCCATAGTTCTACTATTTTTCCAATACAAAACCAAATTCCATTGAATACCTTTGATGCATGTTCTAAATACTGTTTTCCTGCAGACAGCTGAGTAAGTAGTCGAAATTTGTTGTCTTGAAGTACATATATGCCCTGTTTTAAAAATACAAAAACACAAATCTGTGTAATCTGTAGTCCTTAAAATTATCTTACCCGAGGCAGGTGCAGTTTCGCATGTCAATAATTCCATCACAACGACAGCGGCCTGGGCTACAGCTCTGTCTCACTGGATGGATGGATGGATGAATGGATGGATGGATGGATGGATGGATAGATGGGTGGACAGGTGGATGGATGGGTGGACACGTAGATGGATAAATAGAACACAAATCAACCACTGTATACCCAAGCAAATTCTTTTTTAAGATTCAGAGTTTGTTTGTTTATTTTTAACTGTTTGTGTGTATCTGTGTGTCTAATGTACAGGAAGTGCACATCAGAGCAGCTGCTCAATGAGATGAGAAAAGATGTCAAATTCCTGGAGCTGAAATTACAGGTACTTGTGAACATCTGACATGGATACTGGGACCTGAATTTAGGTCCTCTATTAGGGTAGTATGAGCTCATAACCACTGAGCCATCTTCCAGTCAACCAAAGCAAGTTATTTAAGAGTTAAATGTGTTCTATAAATTTACATGTTAGAAATTATTCTAAAGAGATAGAAATATGATATAGTTATGGTTCTAAATACCATCATACTGCTGAATGATAAATAAGGACTCAATTCTAAACAAATTACTCTGACGTGCTATATTCTAAATATTTTTTTTTCCCCAGTTCTGACAGTTTTATTGGGAAATACAATTCAGGAAAGAAAACCATCTTATCATTTCTGGTCAGTGGAATGAAGACGTGTTCAGGGACCCTTCAGTAATGCTAAGAACCCTGTTTTATCCATCTCTATTCATAGACCCAGTCGTGACACAAACTTGTAGTCAATGAGTTATTTAGGCTTAAACTGATCTCTTTTTCAACACTTTTCACTGAATCACTGCCATGAATGATGTTCCTGCCAACCTGAATGCAGAAAGTCCCTCAAATGGTACCTGGCTATAAGAACACCACTGACAACTAGGTGTCTCTTTGCCCATTGTCAGAGTGTTAGTTTATTTTTAATGATGTGTTTGTGTGTGTGTGTGTGTGTGTGTGTGTGTGTGTGTGTGTGTGTGTGTGCGTATACACATGCATAAGATTCCCAAAAGAAGTCAGACACACTGAATCCTAAGGCTGGAATTTCAGGAGGTTGTCATGGTTGCTTGGAACCAAATTCAGGTCCTAATACATGCACTTAACCACTGGGCCACCTTTCCAGCCCCCATTTGCTACATTTTAAATTTTAATACAACTTGTATAATTAGCAGAAAGAAACAACTATAGTTACCAATAACTGCTGCTTTCTCTTTATTCACTTTATCCTGTCAGAGAAAAAGACTGACTTATCATTAACATTAGAAAAACAAAGTTAATTAAAAAAAAAAAAAAAAAAAAGGTTCTGGGGGGCTGAAGAGAGAGATGAGAGATGATTCTCAGCTACGAAGATCACTTGCTGCCCTTGTTCAGTGCCTAACACCCACATTGACGCTCACAACCTTTTGTAGCTACAAGGACCTGACACCCTCTTCTGGCCACTGAATGCACAAGGTACTTTTATGTACACAGGCATACACATAAAAATTAGTCCTCAAAATAACTTAGTTTAAATAAATAAATTAAGGGGCCAACAAGGATAGCTCAGTATGTAAAACTGCTGTGCTCTAGCCTCACAATCTGAGCTGGACCCCAGAACCCGTGGTAGAAGAAGAAACAACTCCCAAAAGCTGCCCTCTGCCCTCACTGTGCCAGGCAAGCTGCTGCATTCACACTCATCACACACAATAATGGGTAAGTAGTAACTCACTAATACAAAGGACAGTCACATTAACGGACTTTTAAAAACAGGTCTTAGAAACAACAAAAAGATTTATCTAAATACCTGATGGTTTGTCCTTAGATTGTCAATTTGTTTCTTGAATACTGTAGTCCAAAAATCTTTACATATGAACTTCATGATGTCTAATTCGTCTTTGAACCTTGCAGTATCTTTTGTAAACCTAAGAAAAATAACTACAAGTAATACAACATATTTCTTCGAAAGAAAACATAAGAGGAAATATTCTCTTACTTTCTGAAGAGGGGCAAGTTGTGAACTAATTTCTAAATGCCACTAGCACTAAACATTTATTGACCGTCATACAGTGATTAACACCAAGCAAAGTCAATCTCACCTCAGAGAATTTACATTCTGTTATGCAATTATGGAGCTCAAGAGCCTATTAGTTATTAGCCATCCTTTCAGTTACAATTCAAACTAGTGCATGAACAATAGCAACAACAAACAAAACAAAACATAAAACAGCAAGGCATGGTGGTTTGTGCCTATAATCTAAACATTTTGGATACTGAGGCAAGATCTCCACAGGTTTGAGGCCAACCAGGGCTACATGAGTTCCAGGGGAGGTTAGGCTACCATATGAGACTCAAAAAAAAAAAAGTTAAACATAATTAGAGTATTTTCATGTAAAAATCTAACCTAATCTAAATTCAACTATTTAGATATTCATAAAAGGATACAAAAAAGAAGTGATGCAGCCAAATGCATCACTTTAATCCCAGCGCTCAAAAGGCAGAGGCAGGCAGATCTCTGAGTTTGAGGCTAGCCTGGTCCAGAGTGCACTCCAGGACAGTCAGGCCATACAGAGAAACCCTGTCTTGAAACAAAAAGAAAAAAAAAAGGGGGAGAGCCCATAAACAGACTTTAAGGTATTTCTATGCCAATGCAATTAAACAAAATTCCATTCAGATTTTTAAACCGTACTAAGCCACAAGCAGAAAATGCAATGAGAATGTAAATAGGCATCTCAATATGTTAATGTTTTCCTAGAAAAAGGTCATATAAATGGGTCTTCCTCATTTATTAAAACATAACATTTGGAGCTGGAGAGATGGCTTAGAGGTTAGGAGCACTGGCTGCTCTTCCTGAGGTCCTGAATTAAATTCCCAGCAACCACATGGTAGCTCAAAACCATCTCTAATTAGATCTGATGCCCTCTTCTGGGGTGCAGGCATTGTATACATAATAAAAAAATCTTAAAAAAAAAAAAAACAAAAACACAAAAACATAACATTTGAAGCTGGGCACAATAGAGAATGGTTATGATCCCAGTACTCATATGGTTGATAGGAGGACTAGTTAAGTCTGTAGTCAATCTGGGTTACACAGCAAGGACATGTCCATAATAAGACCCAAATACCAGAATTAAACTAGCTTCAGGTCTAAGAGATTTTTTCCCCGTGCTGAAACCCAGTGCCTCATAAAGATAAACACATGCTCTACGAGTGATATGCCAGCAGCCTCTTAAAAACAATTTTCAATTTCTCAACTACAAAACAGAAAAAAATTAAAAATTTAAAATTTAAAAAAATATATCTCAAGTTTTGTGCAAAAATCTGAAATGGATCTTCTGTGTTCATAACCTACCTGGAAGAAAATTTTCAAATCCATACTGCTCACCTTTCTATCAATCCTTGTCCCACTCGAAAGCCCATGTTTTCCAGCTTAGTAATACATCGTCCATTTTCCTATTAAAAACATAACAAAACAAAACAAAAACTGTTTTGAATACTCTTAGAATTTTAATATGTTTGTCTTTTAAAACAGTAAAACAGAAATCAGAGGCCAGAAAGATGGCTCAACAGATAAAGATACTTACAACCAACCCTGACGACTTAATCCATAGGACCCATGCTGGAACGAAAGAAATGACTCCAGGAAGTTGTTCTCTGATCTCTCCATGTGTGCTATGACACGCACACATGCACACTCAGACACACACACAAGCTAAATAAATATACATTTTATCAGTACCTTTTCTATATTCTACTTACAAAAAAAAATTGGAGAAAAAAACAAATTCACAGTAACTTAAAAGTTAAATAAACAAGTAAACGGTAGAAGACCACCCACAAGAAAAATTTAACTTTTTTATTTAAATATTTATTATATGTATTTATTTGTATTGGGTGGGGTGGGTATGTCATGGCACACAAGTGAAAATAAAAAGATATTACTCCTCTCTTTCTATCATGAGTTCCAGGGATTAAAATTTCCACTCAGGTCCTCAGGCTCTGCAGTATGTGGCTTTGTAAGTAAGCAACTTAAAAGCCCTAAATTTGTCTTACATGTAGTGAGTGAGTGTGTTTGTGTGTGTGGCACACGCACGCCATGTGTGAGCATCCACATGTGGGAGTCAAATGACAAACTGTTTGAGCTGGTTTGTTCCTTCCACCATGTGGGTCCCAGGAATCCAACTCAGGTTCAGACTTGGCAGCAAACACCTTTATCAGTGGAGTCTTCTACTAGTACACAGTGACAATTTTGAAATGCTAAAAGCACAAATTCAAGATGACATTAGACTACACACACACACACACACACACACACACACACACACACACTTGAAGGAAGGTACACCACTTTAGGAGATAATGTTCCCCACAGAGCCACAGACTATCTGCAAAAAACCTCAGTTTTTTGCCAGGTGTGTGAAAGTTCTGTACAAGCTGTTGCTAAGGGGAGTTCAAGAGACTCCACAAAATAAGACAGGCTATTGGCCTTGTCTTTGGCTGCCTCCCAGAACTTCAAAGTAAGACCCTATTGCTGAAGACACAACACACTTCATACATAGAACTTGGAGGAATAGAGCTAGAATTAACTAGAAGCACACTCCCTGAAGACCAGTTATCACAGTATCCACACTGCCAAAGTAGAAAAGCAATGAATAGCCCTCCCCAACAACAATGACCAACACAGCAGAATTTTCCCAAGGGGTGCGGTAGTGGCACTTATATCTTGTGGGTACCTAACAGCTACCTAAGTGGACCTAACACCTGTTGAAGAGGAAGGAATCATTCCTAGTACTACCAACCAACCTACTGTGGCTGGTGAGGTCATGGACCCTAGAGGAGAACCTACTACTGCCACTTTCCTAAACCAGTATAATTTCTAACTACATTCTTAATACTTTATACCTACATGAAAGTGTTTCTTCTGCAGCAGATGGAGACCATTACAGAAACCCACAACAAGTAAAGTATAGAAAACTACCAACTGTGAGGTGCCCAATGCCAATTCATAGAGCTACAATTCAATCCCTAAGAATAAGAATAAGGGAATATATCAGAATGGGGGGTGGAGGCAGAAAAATTGTAAGAGCCAGAGGACCAAAATGTCTGCTGTAAGACTGTATCTTCTGTATATGACAGGGAAGCTGCACTCAAACTCTCAACAATATAATCACCTAAACAACACCTGTACAATGACAACACCAGCTGACAAGGCTCCAACACTAAATGAAGAGCTATGAGCAATTAGTGACTGCAGAGAAAGGGACAATCAGTCTTCTTCAGGAAGGAGTCCCATATAGGTTAGTCAATCCCAAGTGGTCAGCCCTAAATACATACACATAAAAATAACACTAAAGGGACTCAGTTTCTACGTGTGTGTGTGTGTGTGTGTGTGTGTGTGTGTGTGTGTGTGTAACAATAATAATTAAGAATAGGTCATGAAATTGCGAGAATCAGGGGACATGGGAAAAGTTGGGAGAGAAAAGGAAATGATGTAAACACACTACTAATGCATGAAATTCTCAAAAAAAAAACTAATAAAAAATAAAGTTGTCAATGAAAAGAAGGAAGGCACTAGATGGAGATACATCCCATGCTCATGAATTAGAATATACTCCATGAAAGCTGACATCCAATCTCTATCAAAATTTAGTAACATCTTCAGAGCTACACAAACCTAACCTAAAATTCACACAAGATCCTGAATAAAAAAAAGAAATAAAAGGGAAGGACATGACAGCTCCTAGGAATGGTGGAGAAGGTTTATTGTAGACGAGGGAGAGCACAGTCAGAGGCACAGATATCTGGGAGAGTCCAGTGGACTCTCCTGAGTGGACATGACCCTGAGCTAGATATTACAGAGAGAGAAGAGCCAGACCAAAAAGGAGGGTAAAAGGTAGCTCAAAAAAGGCTGGGTAATCAAAATGGCTGGATTATATAGGGACTGTAACTAGGGTGCTTTCCTTCCCTAGCCTTCAGCCCTCTTTATTAACAGGATTAAAGAAGGGGCTCTAGCCCTTGGAGGCACTTGGGAGGCAGAATTAAGAGGATCTCAATAAGTTCCAGTCTAGCCTGTGAATATACTGAGTTCCAGGCAAACCATTCCTAAAATTCCACAAAACTTGGATTCTATGCCTGACTGCCACCCAACAGTTTAATTTAATTCATTAAATTGTATTCCCTAAAGTACGGGAGGAAATGATCTAATCTTGTTTCTCCGGAAGGTCTAGCCCCACTCGGCATGCTTACTAAACGTTTCCTAAAAGAATCATGAGAGAATAAAAACTTCCACATTCGATGTAACCTCCAGAAGTATGAGGCTGCTGTGCCATTCACTATTAACATCAAACTCCTAAAACCAGCTCTAACATAATGAACAATAAATATTTTAAGTAATTAATTTAAGTGGCTTCATAACTGTTGTTAAAAATCTTGCCGTTTTGTACGCTTTAATTCCAAGATTTATCAGGCTTCGGCCCTGGAAGTTGTGCGGAGTGGTATCCTGAATCAAGAAAGGTGGGAGAGGAGTTTTGTTGGGACAGACTGTAATGGGCCTCTAGAATTGCTGGGAACAGCAATTAAGCCGGAATGACAAAATCAGCTCTGCAGTCAGTCTCTGGGTAAATAGTTATATGGTCAATTATAAAATTCTGTGGCATGCACTCAAAGAAACATTGGGACACGAACACACCAAACAGAAGACAAAACAGAACTGGATGAAAGATTAAATCTCAGAGGGGACAGCCGACACACAGGTTATAGACGGTGGGATGCTCGAGGTGGACCAGTTCGGTCTAACCTACTGGGCGTCTACCTACGGCCGCAGGGCGGGAGAGGAACAAGACCAATTGTCACCGCAGACCCCAGGGTGCGTGGCGGCACTCACCACTTCCCCCTGTTCGGCGGACTTGTATACTCCTGACACCATCTCGTTATGGAGAAGCAAAAACAACGCCTCGTCCGCCATTTCCCGCCGATCCCTCCAGCGCCGAGTCGGCTCCAATTAGTGGGGCACTCGCGGCTCCCGTTAGCCCGCGCCCGCCGGTGGCCCGCGCCGTAGCCGGTGCGCAGGGGCTACGCCGGTGCCGAGGCCGCGGACGACCCTGCGCTAGCCCGGTGCCGAGGCAGCGGAAGGCCGCGGTGGACCGCGCCCCTCCTCGGGGCGGCAGCCACTGGGCCCACAAGACCCTATGACAGCTCCACACTCTACGGAGACTGTAGCGCAGGGCATGGGGCGGGAGCCACTTCCGGTCTGGGGTAACCAACTTCCGGTGTTCTGCCCGGCGCTGTGAGCGGTTCCCTGAGCGAGCGGCAGCGCGTTGGTGCGGAGACAGGAGGCAGAGACGAGGGGCGTACGGCTGGAGGGGAAAGACCAAGGGCAGGTTGATTCATTCTCGTTATCCTAGCACGCGGGGGGTTGAGGTAGGAGGATTGCCATGAGTTGAAAATTAGCATAAATTATAGGAGATCTCTGATTAAATAAATAAATAAATAAAAATTTAAACCGGCCGTGGTGGCGCCCGCCCGTAATCCCAGCACTCAGGGAGACGGAGGCAGGCGGATCTCTGTGAATTCGAGGCCAGCCTGGTCTATGAAACGAATTCAGTACAGCCAAAGCTACACAGAGAAACCTTGGCTCAAAAAAAAATTTGTTTGTTTGTTTGTTTGTTTATTTTGCCCATCGGTGGTGAGGCAGGCCTTTAGTCCCAGCACTAGGGAGGCAGAGGCAGGTGGATATATGAGTTAGAAACCAGACTGGTCTACGGAGTGAGTTCCAGGAAGCCAGGGTTACACAGCGAGAAACCCTGTCTCGAAAAACCAAAACCAAAACAAACAAAAAATCAAGGCAGTATTGTAAAGCTGAAAAAATCTGCTTCTGCCATCTTAGTGTTAATTATAAAACTTGAGGGGCTAGAGAGATGGCTCATCAGCTGAAGTATTTTTTTAAGTAATCTTTTTTCTTTAACATGAAAAAGTGTAAACAATGATTACTTCCTTCGGTGACACACCTGTAATCCTAACACTTTGGAGACAGAGACAAGAGGAACAGGAATTGTCATCCCCAGCTTCATACTTTGTGACACATTTGAGTGTCTGAGAAGTGAGAGCTGTATGTTATAAGCAGAATGAGTGAATTAGGGGTATGGGAAGAGTATCTCTGTGTAGCGCCTTCTAACTTTGGGCTCCTCCAGCCTCTAAGTGTTGGAGTTGAAGGCTTGCATCAGCACACCTGCTTCTAAACCCTCCTCAGACTGCAGATAGCAGATATAGTGGATTTAATACCGAATACAACCAACAACAAAAACCCTAACAGCTTAGAAAATTTTGGGGAGTTGGAATCAAGGCACAAGTAGGGGTGCTGTAAGAAAACTCACGAGATACACTTAAATAGTAAAATTTAATCAGAGAACTAGGTAAAAAGTGCTAAACGCACCAGAAGGTGGTGCCACGTGGGAGACACAGGCAGGCAGGTCTCTTGAGTTCAAGGCTGCAGAGCTAGTTACAGGACAGCAGGGCTATACAAAGAAATTCTGCCTTGAAAAAGCAGAAGAGAAAAGTCCCAAAGATTTTCCAGGCATCACTGAAATGATGTTCATAAGGATCTGTGCTAGAACAGCCCATACAGGCACAAATATTCATGCCTAATCATACTGTATTTTTAAAGATTCTTTAACATTTTACTTGGTTTTGTTGGATACGGGATCACATGTTGCCAACGCTGGTCATGATTTCCTGATCTTCCTGCCTTCACCTCCTAAATTCTAGCACCTCTTTTGTGTGAAGATGCATGTTAACCAAATATGTTGGTGTTACTGAGACTGATTAGTCCTGGTTTTTTGTTTTTGTTTTCATTTTTGTTTTTTTGAGGTTCAGTCTTTTTATCCAGCCTAAATAGGTGTCATTCTCCTTGTTAGTATTTATTTTAAAATGATGCCACACATACAACAGATATTATATGAAAGAGATTTGTTGGATGGAGATGGAGAGATAAAGACAAGGGAAGAGAGAGACATGGTCCCTCCCCCCCCCCCCCCCCCCAAAAAAAACAAGGCAGAAAGAGCAAGAGAGGAAGATAAAAGAGAGAGACAAAGTGGCTGGTTGGTCCTTTTATAGTTTGTGCATGCATGAGCAGCTGAACCGCTTGCCGTACACCTGGTGGGAAGCACATGATGACATCATAGGTTACTAGGCAACCCAGAAGCAGGCTGCCTATAGCTAACACTGCTGACTATACGTATTCTTTCCACATGGTGCTCCCTAGTACTGCAAGCAATACTACTTTGCCAGCCAGCTGATTTTTGTTCTTTTCTTGGGTTTTTCTTCCAGTTATCTCATTGTCTCTCCTGTTAGTACTAGTTTTCTCAAATTGGTAACAAGAACCTGATACTACATTCCTTCGCAGGAATTTTAGGTGACAGTTCCATGTTTATAATAATGGTAGATGTCATGGCTAATATTATCAATTTGACAGCATCTGGAATCACTTAGGGGACAAACCTCTGGACTTGGCTGTGGATTTCTAGATTGGGGCACTTGAGGTGGGGAGGACCCACCCTAAATGGGGGTTACAGTACTTTAAGGGCTGGTGTTCTAAATTGAATAAAAGAGGAAAAATGAGCTGAGCATTCATTTCTGCTTCTTGACTGTGGCTGTGATATGACCAGCCACCTTCGGATTCTGCTAACATGTTTTCCCTGCAATGATGCTCCCAGTTGTGCTCTCAAACTATGAGCCAAAAAAAAAAAAAAAAAACCTCTCGTCAGTTGCTCTTGACAGGTATTCTCCTCACAGAATAAGTAACTAAGGTTGGATCGCTGATGCTGCCTCAGGGGAAGGCAGCATCATTATCATCTATCTAGAACCTTTCCTAAGCTCATAGCATGTAGAAGCCCCACAGTAGTGCTGGACAATAGGACTAGCTTGCTGATGCCCAGCCCTAGGCAACCTGAGTTCTGACTTTATACCCTATTTAGTATCATCACTAAATTACAAAACTCAGAGACGCCCCTCCCCTCTAAAGCAATGGTTCTCAACCTTCCTAACACAGCAACCCTTTAAATACAGTTTCTCATGCTGTGGTGACCTCCCATAAAATTATTTTGTTGCTACTTCATAATTGTAATTTTGCTACTGTTATGAGTCATAATCTAATATATATTATTTCAGATGGTCTTAGGAGACCCCTGTGAAAAGCTCATTAGATCCCAAAATGGGTCTCAACCTAGAGATTGAGAACCACTGCTCTAAAGTCTATAGAATTAAGGAATATCCTTTGTTCTGTAAGTTGCTATAGCACCTCTTATCTCAGCTTCCCCAGTGCAAATGGCTGATAGTCCTAAAGGATGTTTTCCCTGAACTCTATCTAGGCACATCTCTCTAAGGAACCTAGAATAATTGTTATTTAGAACAACTACATGAGAGTGTTTTTTCCCTAATAAATCCTTTCAAATATTTAAATCCCTTCATTTATGTCATTCACCGTATAAATAAAACCTATAAGTTTCACCTGAAAGCCACACGTGGTGATACAGACCTGTAATCACAGCACTTGAAAAGCAAAAGTAGAGACTTTCAGCAGTGAAGGGGAAAGTTCTCTGTGGCCCATCAAGCCCCAGTGTTTCAGAAGCTCCAGGCTGTGAATCTCCAGGGAGGAGGGAAGGACCCCTCCCCCAGAATAAATGATGAATCTCAGGCCCTGGTGGAAGCTGATACTATCACGCAGTACACAGCACCCAGCAAATTTATTTGAAATCAGGGACTTATAAACCCTGGGCAGTGGGAGGGGTTTAGAGGATGAATGTGTTCGATTCGCTGGGGTTAGGGGTGCCAGGGATGCTTGATTTACTTGTAGTGGTTCAGAGCATAGTACATTCATGGTTACATTCAATAGCATAGTATCCTAAGAAGAACATAGTACTTAATTATCCTATGGGTGGGGGAAATCTCCAGGTAAAATCAAAGGTCATTTGGAAAATCAAGACACCAGGGCATCTTATTAGCATAGGGTGTGTGTCTCCAGGAACCCCCAAGTGCCTGCTAAACAGGTTTTCTTATCAGGAAAGGGTCAGGCCTCTGATCTTTCTCTTAAGGCTATGTTGTGCTTCTTACACAACCTGGGGTACCCAGATCAGGGGTAGAGAGAACTCTGCTGAGAAAATGGAGTCCACCATCTTAGACCAAGTGCAATCTGGAAATGTCAGACTTTAACCTCATCCATCAAAGCTCCACAATTAGATTCCTTAAAGTGGAGCTACAGGTGGTTGTGAGCTGTCATGTGGGTACTAGAAATCACACCCAGATCCTCCAGAAGAACAGCCAATACTCTTAACCATTGGACTATTTCTTCAATGTCATAAACTTATTTTATTCCTAATTGTTTGTGTGGTTTGAATAGGAATGGCTCTCAGAGACTCAAGTGTTTGAATGCTTGGCATATCAGGGAGTGGCTCTATTAGGAAGTATGGCCTTGTTGGAGGAAATGTGCCACTGCGGTGGAAGACTTTAAGGTCTCAGATGCTCAAGCTAGGCGCAGTAGGTATTCACTTCCTGCTGCTGATGGAAGCAGATGTAGAACTCTCAGCTCCTTCTCTAGCACATGTCTGCCTACATGCTGTCATGCTTTCCACCATGACAATTATAAAAATAGTATGTATTCTCTTGTTTCAGTTATCATCTCGGAGGATTAGTGCCTCTGTCTGCTAACCTAGACCGAGTCCTGGAAGCTTCTAGCCTCTGTTCAACTTAACCTACGCCTAGAACGTTTCAGCCTCTGAGACTTACTGCTTAATGAGCTCGCCTTATTGTTCTTGATAAGCTCTGGGTTGGCTGGTTCAACTCAGCTGTTCTGGCGTAAACTCCTCTCCCAGCTGGCTTTTCTTAGTCTCTGCTTGGCCTTAAACTAACTCCAGCAATCTTTTCTAATCTTCTGGCTCCTTCTCATTCTCTGGATCATTTGGTCTTCACCTGAGTTCTCTCTCTCTCTCTCTGCAACCTGTTTCTCTGTTACTGTCCCTGTAAAACTGCCTCCTCTCTCTTCTGTGTTACCCATTAAGTAGCTTCCTTTTCTTCTCTCTTCTTCTGAGAGTTGGGTGCATCCTATTCTGTCAAATCTTTCTCTGATTTGTCACCTTTTCTGCCTCACAATTAGGCTTCACTTTCAAACGTGAGTGCTTCCTTCTACAAACTAACCTTACCTTCATTGTTTGGGATGAGAGCCTTGTACCACTACACTTG